GATTTAGGAAATAAGATAATTTTACCATAATTCATGTTATAATGATGTGTATAATGAGAATTGATTAGTCGTTTGAAATCCGAAATTACTAACTGATTATAATGATATTATGAGATTGAAATCGTTATAAATACAAAATGAAGAGTATAGGGTGAAACGGTTGTCCAGTGCTTTCAGATTTTCCATTGTGATCTAGCTTCAATTGACTCATGATCTCAACTATTGAAATTACTATAATATCCACAAAAAACCCCTTCTGATATTAATCAACATATGCTCACTAGTGACTGGCTTCACGAGGTATATACTGGAGTTCTAGTGAGAAGTAGTTACCAGAGGAGTTCAACAGGGTTAGTTGTGAGATAGTAACTCACTGATGACAATGGCGCATGTGTCGCTCAGTTTTGTGGATTAGTTGAAGTTAGACATTAACATCATTGGATGCTAGTCAGCTCAGTCGTCTAGTGGTTAAGCGCTCGTGCGCGAGACTAATAGGTCCTGGGTTCGAATCCTGCGGGATGGGGTCACGGATGCTCACTGCTGGGGTAGTCCTACAATGAGACGAAACGGTCACCTAGTCCTTCCAGGTTTTCCATGGTGATCTAGTTTCAGATGAATCATGATCTCAATTATTTAAAGTATATCTTTCCTTTCTTTATAACTCTTTTGATATAATCATCTTTATAGTCAGTATCTATTATTTATTTGTATAAATTGTGAATGAACATTATTAATTGGTCTTTCAAATAAGTACTATTTACTTCAGTCACATTTCGGTTTTATCGACTAAAGCCTATGATTGAAGATTATGCTATAATGGTATAATATCCTTTAAGAGCCATCTATACTTAATGGAACTAATTGGTTTATATTACTATTCAATAAAACTATCAGATTTATACTTTACTTCACTTTGCCGATATCAGTTGTGAAAAAGATCATCTCTTGATTGAATTCACTCCATTTGTAGTAGTTGTTCTCTAAGGAACTTTTAAGTAACATCCCTTAAATAACGGTTGTTATCGTTTTGTTATTTAATTTATCATTTTGTTTTCAGTGTTGCTTTCTATATATAGCCATTATAGTTTATGGTATTAATATTTATTTTGGCAAATTATCACTCTTTTAAATTCACTTGGTATTGTTTATTTGAACCTTGCACAAACAAGTGGTTATCAGAACTCAGTAGCTAAGTGAATAACAAGATGGCGTTTAGAGCGAACGGTGGTGGGTTCTAGTCTTGTATTAAACATCAACTCTGAGGTGCAGTTACATCTAGCTGACGAGTCCCAAATAGGACGAAACGCGCGTCTTAGATTCGACTGCCAGCCAATATCCATTTCTTGTTTATCATCTTTGTATATTGTCTCATTTTAATAAAGGTCTTTTATAAGTCGACTACAAACTCTAAAGTAAATAGTTCCATAACATTAACCGGGATTACAGTGTTTTGTTTAATGAGAATAACCTGTTAAACAATTTAATGTTTAACTTGTACATATCTAGTTTATATTCAAAAATGTACACTTTAATTATCATTGAAAAACTTTTGCATAAGGTAATATCATTCAATCAAATGAGAATTCCAGTTATTTCATGCATAATTACTTTATCAGTACACACATTGAAGATGTATACTATCGTTATATTAGTTTGTGATCAGATATATCTATAATCTGTTTAAGTAGTTTATAGAAGAATATACAATGCAAACTATGTCGATTTCATCATTGTCTATTATCTACAATTTTCTTTTTTAGAAAGTTAATTAAATTTTTGAATCAGACATATAGTAAAATTCGCTATAAAAGCTTAAATGTATTTCAGAAAGAAAAATGAAATTAGCAAGGATTAGTACAAAGAGGCATTGAAATATGAATATGGTAAACAGAAATCATTGAATTTGTGTGTAGGTTGAGAATACTATCTAGGTCCCCAAACTAAAGCGAGTGGTTTTCTCACAAGGTCACTCACCGAACCTTTGCCCCAGAAGTCTTATCCATAAGACAGTAGAGGAACATTAGGTGTTGCTGACACATGGTGGCCAGTGACCAAGAACAGGTTTATGCGCCACTTGTTCTCATAGAATTCTGACGCCTGTATACACCATTGATTTCGAATCAGGGTTTTCCAACTCCACTAGGTGGATGCTCTGTAGTCGCTAACCCTGTTCGGATGCCGGGTATTCACTTTCCATACTTTCAATTTGATAACTAACATCCCCACCACAAAAGGACAGTGAGTAGGATTTCTCTAAAAGTGACCATTTACGATTCTGTGTTTTCCTATATTTTGACACCATATTAGTACAACCACGTTAAATTAACAGGACGAATGCAAAGGGAGTCTGAATAGTGCAGTTATAATGACAATAAGAAAAAGCGAACACAGATAATATGATTCGAAAAGACAATGGAAAGGTATATATGAAGTAATATTAGTGGTTAAGATCTGGAGCATCAGCGATAATGTGACCGATTTCCACCCATATCAGCCACTGGTCTCAATCATCGTCCGGATTTAAAACAGGCAGTCTGTATTTACCAACATAACTCAAGCCACTTGTCAATAGTTTCATGGATTAGTACTACTTTTTAATTTGACCTTCCCTTCCCTTCCTTAACCAACCTCCGGACCAGCAGCTGACATCACTCGTCTAGGTAAGTGATGATTGCTTATAAGTAGTAAATGTCCTTACCACTTTAGGTGATATAGATTCATTATCGTATCAACTGATTTTCTATATCTATGAAGTACCTTTACGACAGTATTGTTCATTATTGGATTTTAGTAGATTGCCCTATTCATGTAGCATTTCTGCTTAGAGAAAACACTTCTACACTAAACAATATCAAAGTTAGAAATTATTCCTCATTAATCATAACAAACGATAAAAACTTCTTTGGTTTTAATACGTTCAAAATAATGATCGAAATTTTATAGTATCTAACAAATGGTAAAAAAAAAGATAATTAATTAGCATACACAGTAGAGTAAGTCGGTATAGATTACTCGTTATTAGCAAATCAGAAGATTTGAAACTTAGATTCTTAATGATTCAGTATACATCCAATAATAATCCTTAGTTAATCTATGGTAAAGAATGTTTGTTATACAGAACAAAAAAAAGCGCGACAGAGACAAGAAGAGGTTGAGTATACTGATTTTTTTCTATATAGATACTTTATAGTTTCATACAATTGGTACTTTTTTTTGAAAAGACAATTAACATTTTAGTAAAATATGAATAGTTGATAATTGCACATGATTTGATTTGATTAGTTTCTTGTATGAGTTAAACATGGTAAAGTTTTTTTTATCACTGGTTTAAATGTTCTGTGTTAATAGCAAATATGAAAGTTAGTTGTTTTTTTGTATTTTCCATATGAATGTACAATATAACAACAGTACATATTGTACTAGTGTAAAATACATTTTGAGCTAAATTAACAGACGAATAGTTCATTCATGGTAAAGGGGAATGTAATTCTAAGAAGAATAAGAAGGCTATTGAATCTCTGTGGAGAATTCGTCCAAGAACCTTTCATCTAAACTGATGAGAATAGTGGCATAAGGTGTAAATATACTGAAACTACATCATTTTCAATGGTTAGTTTGAGACCTATATGTGGAACAAATCGTAGGTTGGATCTTATATTTAAAACGAAAAAAACTCGTCTCAAAAATTTTTCTTGCGTTACTGAGGGAGTTTAGAAAATTTTGTATTTTGTTAGCATCTCTACTAAACAGAACTATGTCGTCAGTTTATTATGAATCAACAAGGGGGTTTCTGCAAAAAGATAAATTATCAAGTTTTTGTTTCTAGTGGTACATAGTCAACGAGATTGAACAACAATGAGAGATCCGTGATCTTTTCTGTACACCATTGGTGGGAGTCAGATTGTAAAACAGTTCCCTATATGCTATAACTCTTTTAACAGTATGTGAACACGTGTCATTCAAAAGGCTGATATATTTCTTAGATACATCATTCAATGATAAAAGCTGACACAAAACTACTTTAGATTAAATGCATCTTTATGGTAGAATATATAGGTTGGGTTTACGAATGGATAAATATTCCTTCGTTTCAAAACCTGAAGAGCAGTGCAAACGTGATGTATGTATTCATAGCTCGGTCTGAATCCATACTTTCTTTAGATTTTAGAGTTCCTTAGCTCATATCAACAGCCAAGTAATTATGAGAGACTGTTTTCTAGAAATAATATTGTTCAACCTAATTTACCTGTAATTTAGAAAAGAGGATTTCTGTCCCGTTTCATATAGTGGAACGGACAGTTCTCAGCACAAACTAAGTAAAAGTATGGCTTTTCTCCGTGTGCTAGAACGTATATGATTTGGTTTAACTTCTTAGCTTAGTGTGCTTCCCCAGAAATCTTCGCAGTCAACCTTCTTCGGGCATATTACCCCACATTGCATTACATAACTTCTATTTTTTTCTATTTTGCGAAAAGTCGAAGCCCAATCTTGGTCAATATCTCCACTTGTCAGGAGTATCAAGAGATTATGTAAACCGTCTCGCAAAATTTTATGCTAGAGTTTGTGTTCTGAGGGTGGTTCATCGTTTTGTGTTACTCAAGGGTAACATACTTAAAACTAAACACTTTACTTCTCACACTTCCAATAAATTTGAATAGCTTTCTAGCGTTATCTACCTTTAACCCCTGTTTGGGCTTTTTTTCGCTAATGTTGTCCATCACTATTCACATTCGTTGTATAGATCTTTTTTATGTCTACGCATAGATATCAGACTCACTGATTAGCGGGTGAAATAGCTCGTATTTCAAGATGTTAGACATAAAGTAAACTAGCTTTCTTTCCACCTCTTCTCATGTTTACACAACTGTGTATTAAAATGGAAAACTTTTAAGGCGTCAAACATAAGCCTGTATTGGATAAATACATTGTCAGGGATAATATGCTTACCAACTTGTTTCTATTTTCAAAACTGGTTTATTTGGATCATAAAAAAGACTTACATTATCCTTTACATCTTCATCTTCAGCACTTCTCTGAATACCGTATGCAATAAAGCAGAGAATGGCACCGATCCAAAGTAGCATTGAAAATCCACCAAACAGTGTCTTACAAATTTCACCCATTCTGGTGTCGTTTTTGGAGTGTCAGTGCGTTAGGCCCATCACGTTCTAATCGAATTCTACATTGAAACAAAATTCGACGTCACAAAATAGTCAGTACTCACTTAACTTCTTCAGATTTCAATCCATTTTCAGGGTCAGTGTTAAGTCGAGCATACAACTCTTCAAGCGGTATTTTGTGCTCATCCATATCCAATTCTTGTTTAAGATCATCCAAACCATCTTTCAGTTTATTGTTTTCGGGCTTCTTTTTGCAAGTAACCTTGCGGTAGACTTTTCGTATCTTCAAAAAACAAATTGTTTTAACATTATTCAAAAATGTATTTTATTTTTTGAAACTGTTTTTATTTGTGTGAATAACAGTTTCATTATCGAAGAGTAATAATTTATTTCAATATGAAAATTAGGTGTAGTAGCAGGGTGTCCAATTTAATAAAAATCAACTTCTCAAAAATTCAGTTCACAAAGGACTCATTATGACCATTACAAATGCGCTTAAATTACAAGATAAATATGTTTTAAACCCGTTTATATTTGATTCAGTAACTTGGTTAAGGATATTACCTGACCGACAACAGTACATGTACTTTTGAATGTCTATTGGGTGGCAAACACAGTAATAAAAGAATTACAAAACACAAAAAGTACATGTTCTGCTTTGAAAATAAGTATATGGTTTTACATTTAAATACTTTATTACGTGTCATATTTTAAGAAATTGAAAAGAATTAATTTGTTTCATTTACTTGGGATGCTAAGTCTGACTATACTTTTCAGTCTTTTGTTGCTTGCTGATTTCGGACCCATTATTCCTTCATATGATAACTTAAGTGATTCGGCCGCTGATACGAATAACTTTGAATGCTTTTGCGTCTTTTAAACAAAGAGATAAATTTCTGAATGCTAAAATCATATATTTTAAAAGTACGTAAGGATTTTTTTACAATCAATCACATTTCGTGTATACACTAATTACACGTAGAATAAGCTAATTATACATTCTGAAATGTTGTGAGGAGGTATTTTTGATACACCGATGCTACAAAATTCTAAGGAGGGGTCATTGAAAGGTACTTAACAGCAAGTGTGAGTTAATTAAACTTATCACTCTATTCGTCGACTATATGTACACAAAAAATTGAGATCACTTGTTGGAACACTTTGAAAATCTACCCTATATGACTGTATCAACGTATATATTGGTTGACAAAACAACGTTTCGTTGTGTTGTGAAATCATTTCAAACTTTTATTTACAACGTGCAAATTGGTTTGTTGATGATTTTGTAAACTGCGTTTAAACTACCTTACAACCACTTTTGATTATGAATAATTTTGGTACCGTTATGATCATAAGATCACATGAGAGACTAGTTGAAATATTGATCTTTTAAATATCACTCAATGATTCATTCTCCTCTCTATGTATATATGTACTCAAATTCTATTATTAGCTTTTGCTTTGTCTTGCTGGGCCCGTATGCAATTTCTTTATAAATTTGCCTCTTTATTTGCTCGCATATACATATTCACTTTTCTGCTTCAAATTCGCATTATATGTTTATAACTTTGCCATCTGCGCTATCCGCTAATAAATTTTAGTTGCCGGTTCTTATTGCTTTCTGATTTCAAACATCGTTGAGGCTTATGTAATGACGGTTACAAGGGTGATAAATTAACGAAGCAAGGCCACTACAGCCTTATGCATCAGACAGTATCTTTCGTCAAATCCCCCAAAACTATCATATTTTACTAGAAAGTCTAGGAAACAGTTAAATGTTTTTACCCGGGAATAAAACATGTTTTCTTTACTTAGAAAGTCACAATATGAAACATGAAAACTAATTCGCCAACACTTTCACGTATTTTGAAAATCAAAAACTGAGAATATTTTTGTTCTAAAGATAAAGTTACCAGTTCATTTTGAAGATCCCGGATATGTCCAATCATACACTTATGAAAAAATAACTATTGATTAGTGTAATCTTACAGTTAATGTAAAAACTTTTAGGCTGTCTTGCTCTAAAAAGTTAAACATATACTTCAAGCCAAAAGTATCCCTGTATTTTTAAATCACATCGGATAAAAGTTAGCTATGATAATAGCAAATAAATTCGTGTAAACAATGTAAATAAATCACAAACTCAAAACAGTCAATGATCTTAATTGTTAACTCATATCATATTACTTAAATGGGTTCAAAATGTATATCAAATGAGAATTAACTTCTGTTATATCTACAGAAAGCACTGAACAATCATCTGCTTCCTAGAAATTCTCAAACGTTCAGTACAGTTTATTATGATGTTACTGAGTAAACAATCCCCAACAATGACACAAGAACATGATGTTTGTCTTCTACTTAATGTGTATGAGCTGACATTTTAAATCTAATTTCATAATAATCAATATTTTCTTCAAGCAAATCCCTTTCTGCATGTAAGTTAGACAAAAAAATATTATAAGGGTACTCTATGAGAAGGAACAGATAACAATCGATGGATCAGAAGTTAATAAGTTGGTGCTACCAACAGAAGGAACGCAAAGCAATGTTTGTTGGTACTTTGAAGTGAGAAACTCATTGTTCATAGTCTATAATTAGGCCAGGGGTTAGTACAAATTATTCAGTGTTGGTAAATTAACTCTAGGTGACCTTACTACTTACGGAAATCGAAATATATGTGACAATTATTTTGAAGAATTATTACAACAATTTGAACTTTGTAGGGAGAGTTATAATTGAAAGCAATATTTTCCACGAAGAGATGACATCAACTTCAAAATTGAGGCTTGATTAGGACACATAAGTGCGTGAATCAATCACACCTTCAGCAACTTCCATGGTAAACCCTATCGCTTGTCTGCAAATCTTATTACTTATCTCAAAACAACTTTGACGACTAAAATTTAGTTGAGTGGTCAGGAGATCCCCCTACAGATAACTATCTCAATTGAACAAAACAAATATCTCGAAAACGTTTTTGTTTTGTGTTTAAATGCTAGATTGCAGTTAAACTGAGCTCCAAAAGTACACAGCTTCTCAAAACTTACCACATTCATATCTAATGACCTAAATTAAAAATAAAAACTTTCGTTCTCTAGGTCAAACTGGTTGCACTAAACAAGCAATCCCTCCTTCAAGTATACTTTTATCTTTAAATTAATGAATCAGACGATGATATAAAATTCTGTTTGGATTTTTACAAACACTTCCTGGTTATATTTGTTTTCGTATGAGTGAAACAAACGTTCAGAATAATTTTCCTGACAGTGAAAATGTTGTATGTTGTTTATGGGGGAGTTTTTCAACTTCAGTCACGTTGGCAAAAATAACGTATGTCAAACAAACCTTCGTACTTTTTAGCATACAACCAAGTAGTGTTGACATTTCGATTTCATTTACCCTCATTTTCTGATTCACTTGCCATTGTAATGGTTCAAGTTTACTACTTGACCACAACTAACAATTCTCCTAGTGTATCAACGCGCTACTTGATGTATATGCATTAAATATTTCTAGTACCACAATGTTGGTGCTACAGCAAACTTAAAAACAGTAACTTTTTTTAAAGTAGCAACACAAAAGCCTTTCATGAAAAGTGTAACACGGTAGCTATGAAGAATATTAAACAGAGATTTCGTTTTAAAACAGTTTCCTCCGAAATCGTTTATCTAGCATAAACAAACTCAGTTAAAATGGTACACACTACCGTGAAAACTAACGGGACATTGCTATGAGCAGCAACAAAGAATAAAGTGATATCTGAAAGATAATCGTACACGCAATTAGTTCATTAAAGAGTGATAAGTCGTAATACTGTAACAGATAGAACACGCCAAAAACTCCCCAAAGCATTTCACTGTATATTTTTGTCATTTTTCCTCTTGTCTTGCATTTTAACCTTCATTTAGTTCTCTGTTACCGGGCCATTGATAATAAGGTAGTGTTTGACCAAACTCAAGTTCTCGGTGACGTTCAACGAATGGCCGTCAAACTTCGATTGTCCGCTTGAAAAGGTTACATGAATGTTTGCAGATAGCCATCGGATCACATCTTGTCGGGAATATTTTTATTGACTTATAGGTAGCAAACACTTTATTGTTAGTTATTACTTTTGTTTTTATCACACTGGCTTTTTTTAGAGAAACTCATGGCTGTATAGCACAGGCTGATATATCTCGTTCTCTTTAGCAAAATGAAACAATTATAACTTGAAAATATAGTTTGTGTTTTTATATAAGTCAGTACGGGTCACTCAAAAACGCTTCGTATTATACACAGAAGAACGTAATTTGGTTTAATCGAAAGCACTTTGCTTCGTTAGCTCTGCGTTGAAACAGAATATTGATATTTTTGTAGTCGCAGCACGTACATGAAGTTTCCCAGTCTAACTATCGGTCAGCACACCTCAACTATCAGTAGGTCCATTAGATTATCTACTTCTCTTAGAGAAATTAATGCAAGCGATTTTCTGCTCTTTTGTGTAACTGAAAAATACTTAAAAAGAACACAATCAGAATAACATTCGTGTAGGAAAAGGATCATTTGGAGTTACCAACAGTTTTACAGTCACTAATTAGTACGTCGGATTATTACAAACTCAGCCCTACAATACATCCTCAGCAACAAACTGTAGTAAGAAATTTTTAAGTTTGAATTCATTTTTATTAGTATAGTAATGTATTATGGTATTACCGCAAATCGAAGTAAATGATAATGAACATTTAAGACATGCTTTATTGAAGTAGTTACTCCCAACATAACAAGCTACTTCAAAATATAGCGACGATGTTCCCATCTTTTGAAGAAAGCGTGAACTATCTTTTGTACTTTAACCCATATAAGTCGATCGGTTCACTTTAAATCATCATAAGTTTATCAGATTTTGTATTTAAGTGACTCCAGGCTTGCAACCTATGCAGACTAAAAGAATCAGGAGGAACTTGATCGTAATATATCACATCCCTTACAGTCCTCATCACTTCAGTAATTCAGCGTTAAATTATATTTATGAAGGTGTCAAGTTGTGATTGTGCTAAGGTTCATCTAAATTAGTTCAAGTTCCGTTGAGATCAAGTTATGTAAGTGATGTAACGGTAATGAAACATTTCTCTAAAGCAAGTGTTACTCCACGAATAATCTTCCTGTTATTTTGACGAATCTGCAATGTCTAGTCTTTGACAGGTCTAGCGTGGATGTACGTAATGAGTTGGTGTGTATGAGTCTGGAAAATAACAATTGAGAAAAGTGGGCTAAAAGATCTGTAGACACAAACAACGAACCTAAATTTATTGGTTAAACTGAATGACAACAATTATTAATGACATAAGAGTGGAATTAATGACAATATGATAATCAAAACTAGAGGTTGGCAGGATAAGATTCCAAATGCATTTACGCGAATCTGTTCCGGTTTGGAAATATAAGAGATACGTTACTGTAACCAACTCCTTTCTTCAATTATGCAGACGTTGTTCCTGTGTAACGAATAGTTATTAATTCCTGTTTAGGTAGCATTCATAAGCTTTACAGAGTAGGACAAATAATGGATTCCAGTAACACACAGGCAATCATTCTCCATAAGTTGGAGATGAAGGGTAACCAAATACATTGATTGATTACAAATTGTTGAAAAACGCAATCGCCTCAGCTTAAGTCCGGAGCATTAGATATCCTACAAGATATGACTCGCAAAACTCCTCGTCCATCTTGAACATAGTCTTCACATACGGTGGTGATATAGGTCTAATAACCTTTCTCCCATCTCAAGGGAGAAGTGACCGTGCGGTCATCCTATTCAAATTCATTGCTGAGATGGCCTGTCAGAGAGTTGACCCGGCCCTTTTTTACGTATGGAAAGAAAACATGAAGATGATTTTCTCTGCAGCCTCGGCTGGAAACTGGAAAATTGACACAAATGCATCAGTAGAAAAGGCATAGACTCATTTCCGGCAGTTATGGAATCAAGTAACTCAATCATTATACCTAGACATTCTCAAGGAGAAAGAAGCAATGTAATTCATGTATAGACTGAGATATTCGAAGTTTACTAAAACAAAAAAATATTACAACGTCACCAACAGACTTGGTAGGGTAAACATAACGAGGCACTGCCGGTCAGTTTGAAAAATACGTGTATAATTACAATCCGAGCGGCTTGGCGAAAGTATGAAAAGCAGTCAGCCCAACCTACGCTCAAGCAGCCGGAGACTGTTCTATTGCAGATCAAGTTGATCTCAAATGCCGAGCGAGGACCAAACCAAATGTAGGCCGTGGCGAACTATTTAGAGACAGTTTTTACTCAGGAGCCTCTTCTGTGAGATAATTAGACCAATATATATAAATATGTCACTATGGACTTTGGTCGAAATACTTATTACCTTAAAATCGATAGCACAGACCAATGCTGCCCCTTTGAATATGATATTCGGTGTTTCACCTGACCAAGGTAAGATGTCTACGGATTGGAAAGTCACCATTATCACCACTCCAGTTCACAAAATAGGACCAAGACAATCTCCATCAAACCACGAACTACTAAACTTCACCGGTTTCGTAGTTGAAATACTGGAAAGAGTAATCAAAATGATTACTATGACATTTATGGAAACCAGAAACTTGTTGAATAGCGAACATGGTTTTGAGTAATGGTTATCTTGCACATCGAACTTCCATCCTACAAGAAAGCATTGTGCAGAGGCAGCATATAATGGAAAATCATTGGATGTTATCCACGTAGACTTCCGAAAATTATTTAATACAGTGTGAAGGAGTAAACTACTTTTGAAGCCGGGAAATCTAGGACCACTTTGAGGAGTGGATCGAGAGTTTTATGACAGGTCGTAGACAGAAAGAATAAATTCCGAATACTGCTAGAGACTAGTACTTAGAGGAATACTGCATGGCTTTATCCTAGGTTTTTTACTTTATATACTGTGTGAGTGGACTCTCAAGGATAGTTGAGTCCCCGTTGCTGTTATACTCTGATGATGTAAAAATCTGGCGATAAACAACGTGAAACGCAGATGCATGGGCACTCCAAGTGAACTTAGTTCTGATGAGCTGGTATAAATTTTGGTTGATACCTACCGACGTGGCCAAGTGTGTCTACATGCTTGCCGTAAGAACAAAGGCAGATAAAGCATAGAGGAAGAGTCAGTGTCTGTTGTCCAGTCTCACAGGGATCTTGGGGTGTCAGCGAGCCACGATCTTCGGACCACCGGTAACAACCATCCAGTCGTGGCCAAGGGTTTCAGAACCCTATGGTTCTAGGACGGACATATGTCGAGATATTTATATTGTCACTATGGTATGCAGAACATTAGTGAGATCCAAACATGGAAATTGCGTTCATGCTGCAAGCCCCTGTGTCAAAAGGTGACTCGGATATCCTGTGAAAAGTTCAGGGGGCAGCTATACAGGAAAAACTAGAACTCAAGGGTTTGACGTACAAGGAGAAGTTTGAGACGAGAGAACTCTTAACTTTTTCTTACGGCAGATTAAGAGGTGATCCGATTATGATGTAAAAAATACTAAGTAATGATTTTGAAGCAGATAGTCAGCCAGTCAGCAACAACACAGAACTTCGTACGTACGTACATCAATTCAACTTGCCATACTACATTAACACAAAGATACAATTGTTGATTCAAATCCTGTAGTGGTATAGGTAGTAAGAGTATAAGCAGTAATCGGAAACATTATGATTCGAAGAGTATGATTCAGTGAAATAAATTTGGAAAGTAAAAAAAGAAACAAGGAGGATTCAGGAGATTATAATTTGGGAGAACACAAAGAGTGTATGCACCTGCGCACACCATTACAAACGATTTTGAGCCATGTCATTTAAGGTCTATAACCACCAGTCGTTACTATCTCACGGATCCCAACCAGGTAGTCTACACCTACCAATATGACTTAGTCCACTTGTCAGTGAATTCATGGATTTGTGCCATGTTTTGATCTGGCCGCCCCTAGCTTTCTTCAGACCTGATATGTCCTCTCTTTTCCTCCTACCATATCAGCACAACTCAGGAGATGAAGCAGATGAGTAAAATAGCCAAGAACGAACAAAATACTCGTGGCACACAGGTTTTCACACCGCGTTACCAAGTCTTGGAACCTGTTACCCGTAAAAGTGGTGTCCACCCCCTTCTCTTGACTCGTTCAAGAAAATAGACGCTGTCAGAAGCTCACTATGAAACGGATTACACAAACAGTATGCTCTCTGTTCTCAATACACAAATCAGGATCTAAAGTCCAGATTTGTATGTTGAAGATTTCTAGAGTTGAAACTTTGGATATTGCGTTACGTTGAGCTATGATCGGCCGTCTCCCAGCCATTGTAATTGATAATGGCACAGGGTAAGGTTCACAGATCGTTAACTATCTAGTTTATAAAGATACTCTAAAATAGGTTATGCTGGGAACACAGAACCTCAGTCAATCATTCCTTCTTGCATTGCCGTAAAGGAATACAGTAAAGTTGGCACCAGAGAAGTTAGACGACTTGGAACTGGTTTAGATGATTTAAATTTCTTCATCGGAGATGAAGCACTCGCTCTCGAGGGAAAAAATGACTTCTCAGTGAAGGTGAGTCTTCATAAGCGCTCTGAAATTAACTGTCTATGTATGCATATGAACCTAGGGAACTCACTTTTATTCGACTATAGGATCGATTTTAAGTATCGCGTCAAATGTATTCCGTTAACCTCAAAAGACAATGGTGCTTCGCAGGGGGAATACTTCGGCGTTATATCAGGCAACCAAAGTAGTTCTCTCGAGGCCAACAACGTCGCACTTATTAGTTCAGATTAGTTACATTATGATCCATGGTCGCTTAAAAGTGTTCATTCATTAGCTTTTGATCTTGTCAAAGATCGCCCCCTGTTGGCCGCAATTTTTTAGTCTGTAGGCTACTCGAAAACTACTTGTAACGTAATCTATTATTGGTCCCCAAGTTGTCTTATCAAGTTTTCTAATATTATGATCCCGTTTCTTAATAAGAATAAGAGATTCCGGGGTTTCCACATCTCACATAACATAAGTCACTCTCGAGCATATCTGGATCCACTTGTCGCCTGAAAATACTGTTTGGAAAGATGTTAGCACAGACTCAGAAAGCCCACTTAGCTTTCGCCAACATGTGTTGGTTGTCACTTAGATGAAATGTCTGTCTGTCAACCAAAGAATAAACATACAGTGCGGCGGTTCACCTACTTAATGGCTGCAACCTGGCCTCAAGAAGTAGACGACATTCATAGGCTACTAGTATTTAGTCATGGGTGTTTTCGAACAAATGCTCGTATGTATTAAGACCACTAAATAAACAATTCTAAGGCTATGCGCTCAGAACTAGGCTAAATTGTCAAGTCGGTGAGTGATACTGTTGTTTTTCATTAGTTGAGTTGGTTGAGACGTGTTATGTAAGTCGAATCACTTCATACCTTGATGTTCAGTTCACAGTAGACTTATGTTGAAAAACTAGAAGCTCTGAAGCCAAGAAGTGTCAGATAATATAGTCATTAACTGTCGTTCAGTTTTCCCTGTAGATAAAAATGACCTGTTTGGGGTCCATGCGATTATAATGACTGGTGATTGGAGACGTTAGGTGGCATAGGACAGATCCTTTTAGTGTTTGTCCTCGTGTAGATTCCGACTTCCAACATTATTTCTTATTTTTATTCCATGAGTTCATTCTTTTTCAATCATTATATATCTAATCTTTTACGTTGCTTACGCTTCTTATACTTTGGTATTCATTTTGACAATTTTATCTATTCATTCTGTTGTGGTAGTTTAGACCAAAGCACGTATGGGGAAGGTTCTACCTCGCTCGTGACTAATTTGCCGATAGTAGAATAAATTATTTTCCACCTTTAAAGTCGTTCTTCCTCGTGTTAGCTATCTTGTTTTAAAATCGTGTTTGCATCGGTCTTCTAAACTCTGATAGATATAAGTAGCCAGTCAGACGACTGCCAAATCTAGCAGGAGTGGTGGAACATTACATAAATGCGATGTCTGTAAAATATCTTTCTATAGTAAACTTGCGGTTCTTGTCTGTGTTGTTGGAACGGTAGCCTATTTATAGTAAGACTGGATTTTCAACCACCGAGTTACAGACTTGGATTTCAATCAGTTTCCTTCATTTTCAATATCCCGGTAAAGTCACTGGTTGCACTACACTTACGCTGTGACATTCAAGTAATTTCATTCGTTTACCAAGTTTTGATTAATGTAATCAACTTCAATCCACTTTTTATTGAGGACATTGCTGTACCGGCTTTTATTAACCTTAAATTTATGTTTCATCTAGCCAAAGAATAAGTAAACAATTCATGTTTACCTTGTTACTTCCTGTTCTAAACGCACCGATAACCAACAACCAATAAGAATAAGTATTACGTTCTTCGTTGTCATAGAATAACATTTTAATAACCTTCCAGGTCCTCAGATTGAAAAATCACAACATCGGAAGACTTGGAAAGTTTTATCAATTCAAGTTGTCTCGCTTCATAACAACAGAAATATTCTTACTGATTTTCAGACTATTCATATTCTATCTCTAAATTGTTACAGTAACTAAGCCAAATTTTAAGTGCTGTCCACATTGACTTTATTTTCATATATATTTGGACACGAATCATTGTTTACTGACAATAGAACCATACATTATACCAAACAGTAAATACAGTGTAGAAACAAAAGGGAAAAATTAAAGAGTGAAACTTGCAAAGCAAACATTTCGAATGATTCTACGTGAAATACAATTGACTTCTCGCAAGATTACATCTTGTTGTTTACGGATTATTCGAGATTTGATGAAAGCAGAACTTATTTGTCTCATTTATGAGCTATGTTATATATCGTTTCAAGTCATTAAATTTTGCGACCCTTCCTTGTTGACTTCTGGTTTTTTAGGAGGAATGACAAGTAGCACATCAGTCATGACTGTATTCAAAGAAGGTATTAGTCTAAAATCGGGTATTTACGTCAATTCTCATCATCCTATCCGCAAATAACAGATTTTTATTCACAGGTTTAACAATTCGTTTGAACCTAGACACCCATAGTGTAAACAGTCAGTATTAATCGCTTATACATCTCCAAAAGTATTCAGAATGCCTGACTTCGTCATCCATTTTTTATTTAAAACCGCTGTTGTTGATCATTTTGTTCGGAAATCCATTCAACTGGTAAAAAGATTATCTTAGTTGCATTTAGGCTGAAATCTGTCTATAGAAACTAACAAATTGTACTTTTTCTCGTCAGCTACTTTTCACTTTGATTGAACCTATTTACCTAGTTTTGAAATAGATAGCAGTTGTGTCGGATTGTCATCTGTTGGTACACTACCGAAATGTTGTCCTGTAGATGTTACAACTCGTTGAATAGAGATGTTAGGAAGAAGTCTTAGCACAAAATCCTTGGCCATTCATGCTTTAGTTCGGTTTTGTGTTCTCCCTAAACAGTAAGACTTAATTTTCATAGAAATCAAATCTGACATTGTTTAATATCCTTATCCTTGTTATTTCTCATCTCATGGCATTTTATGAGTTTTCTAGTAGTTCCGTATATTTTCATGCCATCATTTGGATAGTCCTTGGGTTTTGGCTACTATTGAACGGAAAAATTCGACTTCATCAGCCTTGAGCAATAACTGTCATATCCAGATCAAGGCAACCTTTTATTATTATTATTATTATTATTATTATTATTATTATTATTATTACGGTAGCAAGAACAGCACATCACTATTCATTCCACCGTTAATATTCAAAATCTACATCAATAGATAAGGATAAATTAGAAGTGAGTCATAAGGCCGATGTAGGAAAACACTGTTGTGTCTGGAATCATAACTAAATACTCTCAACGGTTAAAGCCTTAAACATACGATAATTTAAACTTATTATTATTTTCCATAATTTAGTGGCCTATTCGTCATGGTATTATTGAAGATTGGGACTTAATGCAACGTTACATGGAACAGCTTATTTTCAAACTACTTCGAGCAGAGCCTGAAGATCATTATTTTCTTTTGGTATGCTTTTTATTTTATTATTAAAAATAATCCTAGAATTTACGTTGATTAACATCAAATGTATTATTTATTTGAGGCAGTTGGTCCCTTTTATAGATTTCTACAGAGCAATGAGATCAGATCAGATCAGCTCCATCTTTTCATTGTTCTGTCGATATTATTTATTTATTTAAACATATAAACATTAATACAAAGAGGCACCGAAATATTTATGAACCACACAAATCATTGAGTTTGTGTGTAGCCTGGAATACTGTCCAGGTCCCCAAACCAAAGCGAGTGGTTTTCCCAGAAGGCCACTCACCAAACCTTTGCCCCAGACGTCTAATCCATAAGATGGAGGAACGTTAGGTGTTGCTGTCGCATAGTGGCCATTAACCAAGAACAGGTTTATACGGCACTTGTTCTCTTAGAATTGTGATGCCTATATGCACGACTAATTTCGAACCAGGGTTTTCCAACTCCACTAGGTGGATTCTCCGTACCCATTAACCAGGTTTGGGTGCTGGACATTTACTTTCCGTCTTTTCAATTCGATAATCAACATTCCAACCAGGAAAAGACAGCGAGTAGAACTTCTCTGGCTGTGATTATATACGCGTGGCCGTATGTTAGCATTTCAAAGAAGAGGGCGGTTCCTCTCCACCTTCGGCCGCATTTGGGGGGCAAAAATATATGAAACGCTTCACAATTTTGTATGTCATCCTTGTCCAGGGGCTTGTTAGTTTTTCCTATATCGTTCCAATTTTAGTATATGTACCACTGAACCGACCATACGAAGTTGACATCAAATTAAGATCCATGTATCTACGTAGATTTTTCAAGTATTCACCTGGAGACCAAAAACGTATCTAAAAACCTTAACTTCTAATGACAAAAGGGAAGGTTTGAAAAAAACTGTTATTTGGTAAACACTCCGTCACCATGTCAAAAAAGTCTAATCACACTCGTTGTGTTTACATAGGTTAGCTCATAGGTAGGGACGGAATGTGCTTCCTGGATCCCACTGCTAGCCACCATCCAGCTTTGCTTTTAATGTTAAGTAGTAGTTTGAGTCTTTGGTTTCTTCGTTACAGGTTGACCAACTATGTGTGCTAACAAGGCACATGTATCTAAACTGATACATAACAAATGTTTTTTGTCATTTGAATGATCTGACTGAGCAGGTGTGTATGATAGTCTGTATGTGTCTATATACTTGCTTATCTTTCTTTCCTATAAATGCTGAGTCTAATTTTAATTACATTGGATAGGCTTGTGTGCCTTCTCTGACCTGTGTCTTCCATTATCTTTCCGCATTTATGGGTATCTGAAATATTATATGTGCCTGAAAACACTGTCTCATTCGACTTTTGATATACCGTTATTCCAAACGTTTTAAGTCGACAAAACGTATGCAAAGTTAAGTTGAATATGTATTTCATTAAAGTCAACATCCACTGATTCTAATGTAGTCAAACAGAGGGCATTCAACCGTAATATAAATATAAATATACAATAAAAAGGAATTTTGTGCAAAATGAAGTGTGCTCTTAATTATCACTGATAACTGACTTTTCTAGCCACATATGTGTATTTATCTTTCTATAATGTTTTCCACCGTTACATTTCTGTCAACAAAATATTCAGCCATATGTAGCTGGTCAAACAAAAAGCATTATCCAAGTACAATATTAAGAGTTAGATGCGTGGTGATTTGATCGTTAATACAGTCAAAGTTTATCCGTTCTTTTTGTGGTTAGGGTAAATCCCACTGGATCATATATGGTAGTCGTAGTACAATAAAAATTGAAATCAAATCTTTCTCTTTAGTTTTTTCCTCTTTTCTCAACCGTATTGTTTGGTTTGTTTGTTTTGTAGACAGAACCACCATTGAATACACCAGAAAATCGTGAATACTTAGCTGAAATCATGTTTGAAACGTTTAACATTCCTGGTCTTTATATCGCTGTACAGGTAAGATGTTCTTTAACATTATCCTTTCTATATGTCTATAGATCTTTGTTGATGAATTTTGATTTATGGGATCTATGCCAAGTTCGTACTGTTAAAGTATCTTGGGTAACAAAATTTCGGAAACGATTGATAGTAGTAAAAACTCTTTAGTTTGATGAATGTATCATTCATTATCTATATCAACTCATGCTTCATTGAAAAACATCTATACCCTTTAGAGTTTTGGATGTTTAGTATTCAATATTGCAAGAGTTCCTAATATATTAGCTCCGTATTTTGAAGGCCTTAATGTGGGACTTAATCCATGTGGCGAGATGAAGTGTGCTGCTTTTAGGCCTAGTCTTTTTAACCCCGTCCTTCTGTTATGTAAAGACATCATCTCTGTAGATACCGGTTGTCTAAGGGCAGCACCCTGCTGCGTCGCACCCCTGTGAAGGTAACACCAAGACCTCACCTTTGGATATCAAGTTGTTGCTTTTAATCGTCTTCAGTCGATCTATCTGGCATGATAGAAATTAATGGAACATGTGCCCCTGTTGTTACCTTGCCCTGTTAATTATCAAATCGTCAATTAGAACACGACTTAAATGACCCTGGCGCTGTACTAAACCAATGACGCGTTAAGTGATACTAGCGGTTTAGAGTCAACTATGAGTCCATATTGGTTCTTTTTGTCCAGCCCTATCCATTTGCGTCCAGAACACAATCACAACTTCCACTATATGAATAATGTATTTCAGACATACGCAGTTTATATACGAGCAAATCAGACCTCATCATACCATGTAATAGAATATAATAAATATACGAGATCAGGCCAAAAGTATCTGTGAGTGTGAGATCCTGTAACTAATAGATTGGGGATAACTTAAGAAAAGTAAATCGTATAATAGTAATCTATAGGTCAAATGGAAGTTTATAATAAAAGGAATACGAATATACATATAATATAATTACTTAGTAGTTATCCAGTAAAAAAATACACGTAATAATAGTCCATAAACGGTTCATAGCAGTTACCATTCATTTATTTTTCGTTAGGATATAACCACTATAACTCCATTGGGTCATCAGTGCACATAAGCCTTATCACTATTTCAAGGTAGTAATTGTGGTCGGGGGCAAAAAGCTGTTTGTTATCATTAACTCTCACTGAGAAGTATTAAGCGACCAATCCCTTCATTACGCTTGATCTTACATAGAGTTAATTTTCCGCTTTACAAGCTTTTAACTGATGTATTTTAAGCTATGGGAATTTAATAAATTTAGGAAGTGAAACCCGCTTGTGGCTCTTCTAGGGTTACTACCTGTCTCAAGCCTGGGATAAGGAAAAGGATTTGGCATGGGGTCACCAACCCTACTTCGTAGGAAACAACCTTGCTAAAAAAATGCTAATCAGAAAATATCGTTTAAGCAATTTAAACTCTTCTCTAGGAGTTGAAAGATCTCCATTTAGATTAGTTATGACGTCTTATGCTGAAGGCCAAGATTCTTCGGAAGTTACGAGGTCAGTGCTCTTCTAACACTCAGAACAACGATTATAATAGGTGCATGAAATGTCCGGACGATGTGGGAGGTCGGGAGGACTAATCAAATAGCTAGAGAAATGAGGAGATATGACTTGAGGGTGCTCGGACAGAAAAGATTAAATTCTGAAGAGATGTTGTTGTACTCTGGTTATGAAAACATAAGTGCTTTGCACATACAGGGAGCTGCAGTGATACTGTCCAAAAAAGCACGTAAAGCACTTATAAGATGGGAATCTCATAGATGCAGGATCATCAAAGCATTCTTCAAAACAAACAAGGGAATCACAATGAATGTTATCCACTGTTATGCACCCACCAATCATAGCAACGACGACGATAATGATCAGTTTTGCGAGAGGCTGCAATCAGTCGCAGCGAAGTTCTCAGGAAAAGGCCTGACCATCTTGATGTAAGATCTAAACGCCAATGTCGTAATGGACAATACCGGGTCCGAAGATATCATGGGGCGACGTGGACTGAGGGAAAGGAACGAGAATGGTGATAGGTTTACAAATTTATGTGCACTCAATAAAGTGGTTATCAGCAGCACAATATTACCTTACAAACGCATGCTCAAACCTACATGGGTCTCATCAGGTCACACCATGGAAAACCAGATCTATCATATTTGCATCACTAAAAAATTCTAAACGGCAATGGAAGACATGAAAACCAGGAGTGTAGCTGACATAGCTTCAGATCACCATCTGATGGTTGTCACGATGAAATTGAAGCTAAAAAAGCATTGGGCAACTGGGAAAACAGCACTACAAAGGTTCAATACGACCTTCCTTCGAGATACCGACAAAATCAACAACAGGTTCCAAGCCTTACAAGATCTGCTCGAAGAAGATAATACTGCTATGGACAACGATTAAAAAGTGATCAAAAAAGCACTAACTTCAACGTGTCAGGAGGTTCTGGGCCGCAAAAAAAGCATCATCATAAGGAATGGATCTCCATGGAAACCCTGGATAAGATTCAAAAAAGGAACAACAAGACAGCAAATAAAATCACTCAAACATGAACAGAGAAAGTCAAAGCACAGGCCGAATACACAGAAGCAAACAAGCATTAGAGCTGACAAGCAGAAATGTATGGAAAAAAGCTTCAAGAGAAGGAAATATGAGACAATTACATGACACAACAAAGAAGCCGGCAGAGGAATATAGTCAACCAGAGACCAGTCAAGAACAGAGGAACTGACGGGTAGAACGCTTTAAGGGACTCTTGAATAGACCAGCTCCATTGAATTAACCGGAAATCGAAGCAGCACCTACAGACCTTCCCATTATTTCACTTCACCAAATATCGAAGAAATTAGTACGGCCATTAGACAAATCAAGAGTGGAAAAGCAGCAGGACCATACAACATAGCTTAAATACTAAAGTCAAACATAGGAATGACTACAAATGTGACCCATGTTCTATTCAGGAGGATTTGGGAGGAAGAACAAGTGCCGATATACTGGAAAGAAGGATGCCTCATAAAAATACCAAAGAAAGGAGATCTGAGCAAATGTGAGAACTACAGAGGTATCACACTACTATCGGTGCCTGGAAAAGTTTTCAATATTGTTGTTGAACCGGATGAAAGATTCAGTAGACGCCCAACTTCGTGATCAACAGGCTAAATTTCATAAGAATCGTTCGTGCACAGACCTAGCTCTTCTATCTCATATACACCAACAAATGCAGGTTAAGACAGTCATTGTATCAGCAGCCTCTTCAGCAATAGGCCTCAACAAACACAAGGGCGAAAGCAAGGTCCTCAAATACAACACAGAGAACACCAACCCAATCATACTTGATGGAGAAGTCCTGAAAGAGGTTGAAACTTTCATGTAGCTGGCTAGCATCATCGATTAACAAGAAGGATTGATGAAGGTGTAAGGGCAAGGATTTCCGAAGAAAGGGCAACATCCCTAAAATTGAAGAATGTATGGAACTCAAAACAACTTTCAGCTAACATCAACATCAGAATCCTCAATACGAACGTCAAGACAGTCCTACTATACGGACCTGAGACTTGGAGAACTACCACAACCAACACCAAAATGTACGAGCATTTATAAATAGTTGTCTACTCAAGATACTCAACATCCGTTCGCCGGATACCATTAACAACAGCCTACTGTGTGAGAGGAAAAACCAGGTTCCGGATGAAGAGGAAATTAGTAAAAGACGTTGGAAATGAATAGGACATACATTGAGGAAGTCATCAAACTGCATCACGAGGCAAGCACTAAGTTGCAATCGTGAAGGGAAACGGAAAAGAAGTCCACAGAACAGATTGTGTCGAGAATTGGAAGCAGATATCGAAAGGATGAATAACAACTGGAAAGGATTGCCCAGTACGGAGTTCGACGGAGAATACTGATGGGTGGCCTATGCTTTTTCACGAGGGGTAACAGGTGTAAGTAAGTGAAACGTGAACCCCTATGCTACTGATGTATGTTAATAACATATCAGTAAACATGATCCCCATATAAAGGATGTAATTTCAATTGCATATATCACAAACTGAATTCCTGGTGTTTTAACAATTTTGTTGGTAGGGTCGCTGGTATTTTTTACTTCAATCTCTGTGTTAATTTTACAGGCTGTATTAGCATTGTCAGCTTCATGGTGTTCTAATCGAACTGGCAGTCGTTCACTTACTGGAACGGTTATCGATTCAGGTGACGGTGTTACTCATGTGATTCCTGTAGTCGACGGTTATGTCATTGGATCTTGTATTAAACATATACCAATAGCTGGACGTGACATTACTTCTTTCATTCAACACCTGCTTAGAGAACGTGAAAATAACATCCCACCAGAACTGAGCATGGAGGTCGCTAAACAAATTAAAGAACGGTTAGTTTCAAATGTTTTTCGACAGCCATCTACCTAATGTCATTCAATAGCATAAGATTGCAGCACTAAATAATCTCTACAACTTGCTGTACTAAAATATTGTCAAATACTTGTTATTGACTAACTTTTAGAGTTAATTCCCAGAGTTATAGTGATAAGCTACATCTAGCAGGGTTCAACTATGTTGGGCATGAGAAGAGGTGCTCAACAAAAACGATGAAAAGTGATCGCGCAATATCACTGTTGATTAAAACAAGGCCTTTGCATAACTGGACACCGTCTCAGTGTTTTAGAGGTTAAGTGTTTGCGCGTGATATCGAATGTCCTGGTTTCGACTCCCGGATGCTGGGCTGTAAATGAGCACCACTGAGGAGTTCTATACCAGGACAAAGTAGCTGTCCAATGCTTTTAGGTTTTCAATGGGTCTCTAACTTAGATCGGTTTGGGATCTTAATAAAATTAAACAACCCCATGCTGAATATTCTTTTTACTTTGTTTTAATCATCGGTGATGTTAGATTTCCAATTCATTTATTTGTTTAATACGCATAAAATCTGCTACAACTGGGCACTGATAATGTATGTCATGGAAATGAAGATAAGAAATTGTCGGTTATCATATTTATGGATGGGATGAAATACTTCTCACTTGTCTAGACAGAGGATAGTTTTCGTAGGGAGTCACTCTTAAACTTTTAAACTTGTCAGTTATTCAGCTACAACGTAGCACCACGCACATATATGCATCGGTCCAAGTTGCCATACCTCATTAGCACAACAATATGAACACCGGATTCATAGGAGCGGTTAAGTCAATGGTGGTAATATATAAAAGAAAAATTGCATATAAGGACATAATACAGGAAGAAAGAATCAGTTGGTAGAAAGAAAGAAAGATATGAAGTGATTTTAATCTCTTAGTTTAAGGGAAGACAAAGAGTGTATACACCGACGCCATCGTGATCGATTCTGAGTAATGTCATACAGAGTCTCCAACCATTGGTTACGATAGTCACACGGACCCCAACCAAGTAGTCTGCATCTACCAACATGCCTCAGACCAGAAGTTAGTGACTTCAAGCACTTCAAGCCACGTTTCGTTTTGGCCGCACCTAACTTTCTTCCAACCATCCCAACACTAGACAGCATTGCGTGTCGTGATAATCAGTGTTCAGACATACGTAACACGTAGTCCAACCATCTCAGTCGATGAAGATTCACAACCTCATCAACTGATTTACCATCATCATTCTCTAATACCCTCCGTCTAATCTCACTATTACTTACCCGGTGATCCCAGCAGATGCTAGCAATGTTTCTAAGGCATATGTGGTCAAATACTAGTAGCTTACCAGTATCTTCTACTTTTAATGGCCACGTTTGGAAGCCGCAGTTTACTCATCCCTTAACTGATAGATGGATATCTCACATCTTTTAAACTTAAGATTTAATCCATAAAGCAACTTTAAAAGACTTAGTCAATAATAACCATTGACCAAATTAGTTTCATATACTATTCATCTCCTTCAACTCCTGAATTTCATGTATATCATCTGCTTTGAAATCAGACTTTTTCAATCGTTCTACTTGAAACTTTCGTATCTACCAATTTGATCTAATGATTGAACGTTCAATTTTTTACTGATTTAATTAAGTAGTATCATTAATACTAAGTCAAAATTAAGTAATATATATATATATATATATATATATATATATATATATATATATATATATATATATATATATATATCATAGATTGAAATCATGAGTCAACTGAAGCTAAACCACCATGAAAAACTCCTCGGCAGTGCGCACCCACGATCCCGCACCCCGCGAGATTCAAACCCAGGACCTATCAGTCTCGCGCCAGGCGCTTAACTAACTAGACCACTGAGTCGGCATCCAACGGTGTTAATGTCTAACATCAACCAGTGCTTCCAGGTTTTCCATGGTGGTCTAGCTTCAATTGACTCATTATTTCAATCTGTGAAATTTCTAAAATCTCCACATACCCCTTCTGATACATATATATATATATATATATATATATATCAATATCCTTCTTATTTCTCCATATTTTTCTTTTAGTTATTCATATGTTTGTCCTGATTTACCTAAAGAATTTGCTAAATATGATAGTGAACCAGATAAATGGATTAAACCACATATTGTATCTAAATCAGCTAAATATCCATCATTTTCTGTTGATGTCGGTTATGAACGTTTCTTAGGTCCAGAAATATTTTTTCAACCTGAAGTATGTTCAATTCTTTGTGATAACTTATTCTTCTTTTTTAAGTTATTTTATTATATGAAAAGCTTTAATGGTAATGATGACCTCTTTTATAATCAATTTCAAATAGAATGGTATTATTATTACAAGACATACATATGATTTAGATGATTAGTTTTTTTAGATCATTAATGATTTATTGTTTTTCATTGATGTTATAAGTTATGACTTGAATACCTTGCTTAATGTATAACGTAATGATACCGCCAATTAAGGAGCAGTGAATTATCGATCGGATCAATGACGCCTAAAACTCGTACGAGTAGTCTATAGTACTACTTATCGGTTCTACTTCCTGCCTAACACAGCCTGTTAAGTTTAGAACACCAATCTTAGCCTCTGCACGATATGAATCATTTATTTCAAACATACTCGGTTTATATACCAACCAGACAGATCACACTGTACCATAAAATAGGAAACAATATTTGTACAAGATTTGGCCAAAAGTGGCTGTGAATGTGGGGAACTGAAATGAATAGATTGGGCATAATTCAAGAGTGGTAAATCGTATAATAATAGTTGGTAGGTCAAAATAAAGCTCATAATAAGAGGGACATGAATATGAACAGTTTAGTTATTTAGCAATTCTACGGTAAAAATATACGTATAGTACTGGTCCATAAATGGATCTGACCATGCCCTAATACGGGCATGCATCTGCTTGCGCCTCACTGGACTCAAAAAAGCCACACTAAAAAGACCCATAAGAACTGAGTTGAGTAACAAGAAAATCAAAAGTAGGTTCCACAAAGAACTGAGGTCACACTTAGGTAGTTCTGAAAACGAGGCTGACCCAGATATTGCTTGGAAAGATATATAAACAGCTGTGGAAACAGTAGTGACATCTATTAGCGATTTAAACCATATGGTTACAAAGAACCAATGGATTTCTTCAAGGTCTATTGCACTGATGGATTCTCGTAAACTCATCCCATCAGGTTCTGAACACGATGAAGAGCGTAAACAAATCAGATCTAGGTTAAGCAAAAGTCTAAGGAACGACCGTGAGCAGTGGTGGGCACGAAAGCAAAAGAGATGGAAAAGGCGGCGACTATAGGGAACACAAGTCATCTCTACAGACTAATAGAAGAAACTGGAATTAATAAGTCACGTGTAAGTCAGACCAAAACGTGACATCAGTGTTTGAAGACACTAACTTCTAGTCTGAGCCATGTTGGTAGATGCAGACTACTTGGTTGGGGTCCACATGACTATCGTAACCAATGGTTGGAGACTCTGTATGACATTACTCAGAATCGATCACGATGGCGTCGGTGTATGCACTCTTTGTCTTCCCTTAAACTAAGAGATTAAAATCGCTTCATATCTTTCTTTCTACCAACTGATTCTTTCTTCCTGTATTATGTCCTTATATGCAATTTTTCTTTTATATATTACCACCACTGACTTAACCGCTCCTATGAATCCGGTGTTCATATTGTTGTGCTAATGAGGCATGGCAACTTGGACCGATGGATATATGTGCCTGGTCCTACGTTGTAGCTGACTGACTGATGAATAGATCCCAAAGTTACCAGTCATTATGCTTATCGGGACCAAACAACTGAATACCTAATATTATACTGAACTAATACTCAATTGAAGATAAACAATTTCTTTCTTTTTTTCAATATTAAATTACACAATATTTTTGTGATAATCCATATATTAAATACTTCATTTGCAAATGTTCCTTTATTATTATTACGATTACTCTCTGTTTACCTTTCCATTCTCTTCAATTCGATCCTCTCAAACTTCTGCTACTAGGTATTTCACTTCTAATTGGTGTGAAATACTACTTATGTCGACAGACAGATAGTAATTCACTGATGACAATGGTGGATGTGTCGCTCAATTTCGTGGGTTGGTTGAAGTTAGGCATCAACATCCGTTGGATGGTCTAGTAGTTAGGCGCTCGCGCGCGAGACTGATAGGCCCCGCGTTCGGATCCTGCGAGGTGGGCTCATGGATGCGCGCTGCTGAGGAGTCCCACAATATGACGAAACGGCCGTCCAGTGCTTCCAGGTTTTCCATGTTGGTCTAGCTTCAATTGACTCATGATCTCAACCATTTTAATTACTAAAATTTCCACCAAACGCCTTCTGATATTTATTATTTATTTTATTTTCTAGTTTGTCAATCCAGACTTTACAACTTCATTAAGTGATGTAGTCGATGAAGTAATTCAAAAATCACCAATTGATTCACGTCGTGGACTTTATGGTGTAAGTTGATAATAATAATAAATCTATTTTATTTGGTTAATCTGTTGTCTCGGAAGTCCTGCTCGATTTAAGTTTTTCATTGTTTAACAAGGAGTATTTTTTGCATTAAAAAACTGATCTTCCCGGTGGGATTCGAGCCTACTGTATTCAACATAATATCGTAATCATAGATGTTGCGATTATTTTTCAGTTTGGAAGCTTCTTAAATGGTTTTCTCGGTCTGTGACATTACCTGGATATTCCATATAGCTATCACAATTATTACTTTGATTGTCAGAAAGGGCATCGGCCCCGTAATTTTCTGAAGAATCTTGGCTTTCACCATGAGACGTCATAAATAAAAATCCTTCAACTCCTAGGGCAGATTCTAAATGGTTTAAACGATATTTTCTGGTTAGCACTGTCTTAGCAAATGAGGTTGCTAACCTCGTGCCCAACCCTCCCTCTTTTTCCAGGCTTGGGGTCGGCGATAACCCTAGAATGGCCCTAGGCGAGTTTGTCTTGTCATTGATTCACAAATTTAATGTTAGTTTGATTTAATGAACCTAATACCCCAGCCACATTCTAAATGTGAGGACTAACGATACTACTAACTAGTTGCCCCAATCCGAGGTACGTGGATCATAGTTCAAACTCGTGACTTACTAGCTGAAAATCGAACGCTATCAACACTACATCACTGCTTCGCCTGAAAGAATTTAATACATAGAAGAAACAAGATTAATTGATTAGTTTGTTTCTTATATTCATTGCATAATATTTCTATCGTATTAACTGAAAGGAATTCATTCTCTGTGTGTATGTGTATGTGTGTACTCATGTGTTTTGGGTTACAAAGTGATACGCGCTCACTTAATCACTTACTTGCACACTCAATCATCTTTGAGAAATAGAGAACACAGAGAACATTTGACAAATTTCTATTTTTAAAGTTAATAATTTTAATCAATATGATATAAATTCAATACTGATTAATATCAACTATGAAAGAGGTTTTGGAAACGAGATCTATGGGGTTTGAACCCTTATTTCCATTGAATTCAATTGAAACAGTGTAATAGTTGAACCAATCGGCCTACTACAAAAACAGTCAAGTATATAAACTTGTGAAAAATCTCATCTGAAGCCATTTTGGGGGTTGCTCCTAGTCCTAAGCCTGAATAAAATAAGGTTTGAGGATAGGATTAACAACCTTATCTCGTAAAATAAAGAAGCTTGCTAATCAGAAAATGTCACCAGAATACTCAGTGAATGAACTACGTCAGCGAGTGCTCGTTTACAAAATTATACTCAAGACCTGTAGATCATGTGTGGTTGTGTGGTCACGATTGCTTCATATATCACCATTAAGTTTGAGATTCAATACCTAGACCTTATTGCTTATAAAATTAAAAAGTATCTAATCCGTAATATTAATGTTTAATCTTATATTCGATGTTTAAATGACTGATTAGTTGGCTCATATCAAATTTACTATTAAGGCACGCTCGTTTGTTTTTGTTAATGAGATAGGCATCATCACACATGCTGAATTCAGTCGATATCCATTTTATGCACACATAAATATAGAGAGCGTAGTACTTAAAACTGTTGGGGAATTTCAGAGCACTCGGAAAGTCCTTAGGGTGCCAGAGAACTCTGGGAAACTTTTTATGCAATCAGCGTCGAGTAGAAGCCTCTCACAAACATCTAGAAAATAGAGAGTCATGTTTCTGATTGGATATTTACATATCATGCTATTATATTTAGTAGGGTTCCGAAAAACCCCATAAGTCTAAGGTCGTCTGTAATACCATAAATACCCTCGTTTTTTCTGTACATAAACTAACCTTTGAGTAAAGCGTTCTTTTCACACTTCATGCCTTTTCCTTGTGTTCATTCTGGTGTGTAAACTTAGCCTGGACTTACTAGTAGCGTCTAAGGAATCAAATCAAGCGCTCAAATGAAAGACTTATCAAAAACGTTCAACTACCAATATCTAAGTCATAAGTTGAAAAAATTCACCCATCCTCTGTGGTTTCAGAAGTTGAATAGTGTGCCCTTAAATCGAATACATAAACGTGTCTATAATAAATAAATTGTATTTAATGATTTAAGTATGAAAGGTATATTTAATTCAAACAACTGTCATCATCTGTTTGTTGTTTGTCTCCAATGTTCTTCCTTCATGGCTTATTGCAATAATTAGTCAATTATAATCAACGAAAAGCCTTGTACAAACAAGCATCACATCATATCAGCTTGACTAGGTGAAATTAACGTAGTTAACAGCAAATGAGTGGAATTTATCTTAGTACCGATAATGATGAGAAAAACTTAACATTAAGAATGTGATTTGAAAAGATGAAATGGAAACAATGTGTATGAAAAGACTGCCCCGACGTGCGATGTCTTATGGTTTTGGAGTAGGTTGGAAAACAGCTATTGGTTGCCAGACCAAAACATGGCGCAAATCCATGAAGTCACTGACAATTGGACTGAGCCATGTTGGTGGGTGAAGACTACCTGGTTGGGATCCGCGAGCCGATAGCAACCGATGGTTAGAGACTTTGAATGACATGGCTCAAATCGTTTGCACATAAACATTGGTACAACGAGGCACCAACTATATATGCGCCGCACAAATCATTCGATTTATGTGAGGGCTAAGATACTGCTCGGGTGCCCAAACCGAAGCAAGCGGATTTCTTAAAGGGTCGCACCCTGAGACTTCGACCTAAAGGTCTGATCTACAAGGCAGTGAAGCAAAGTCTGTAGATACGGTATCATCATAGCCGGTGACCAACAGTAGGTTCATACCCCATTTGTTTCCTTAGAATCCTGGATACCATCTACACCATTGGTTTATAATCAGGGTTTTCCAACTCTCCTAGGTGGATTCTCCGTATCCACTAATTAGGTTAAGGCGCCGGACACTCGCTTTTCATCTTCTCAATTTCGTAAACAACACCCGTGGTTCGAGAAGGCAGTGAGTAGGACTTCACTGACAATGATTATATACACGTGGCCATTTGAAAGCATTTCGAGAGGGAGAGCTGACTCTCGGCATTCGGAGGCATCTCTTTCACACACCCCATTTCACCTACCACTGATCAAATTTAGCCGCTAGCAAACATTTCCCATAGAAATATACTCTAAGTTTTTTTTGTTTTTTTTATTCCATGTCAGAACATTGTTTTATCAGGAGGCAGTTCAATGTTCAAACATCTTGATCGTCGTTTACAACGAGATATTAAACGAAATGTTGATAATCGTTTAAAATTAACAGAAGAACTTACTGGTGGACGAGTTAAGGTAATCGGGTATTCATATTTATTTCAGTGTTTCATTGCTATACTTAACGGACTATTTTCTATGTTTAGCACTTCCATCATTTAGAATCTCAATGATGTATACTTTTCATATCTGCTTCTATTTCCCGACGTATTGTGTTCTTTGGCCTTCCTCTTTTATGCTTCCCTTCAGGATTCCAATTTGGGGCTTGCCTCGGGATGCAGTTTGACGATTCGCGTAATGTATGTCCTATCCACTTCCAACTTCTTTTCTTAATTTCCTTTTCAGTTGGAACCTGGTTTGTCCTCTTCCACAGTAGTCTGTTGCTGATGGTATCCGGCGAATGGATGTTGAGTATCTTGCGTAGACAACTATTTGTAAATACTTGTAGCTTGTCTCGTGATATAGTTTGGTGATTTCCGTAATGTATGGCGTATCCATTCCCATCGTCTTTTCCTAATTTTCTCTTTATCTCGAAGCTAATTTGTTCTCTCCCGCAGAAGGCTGTTGCTGATGGTATCCGGCCAATGAATGTTGAGTATCTTGCGTAGACAACCATTTATAAATACTTGTACCTTCTTGATGGTGGTTGTTGTAGTTCTCCAAGTTTCAGCTCCATACAGTCGAACTGTCTTGACGTTCGTATTGAAGATTCTCACTTTGATATTGGTTGAAAGGAAACTCATAGCATTAAATCAATAATCTATTCATGTTTGAAACTATTTTCCTTAGAAACCAATTTCGATTAATCTCAATGTGCGTATTTCTGTATTATTCATTCTAAAATATCTAGTTTGACTGATAGAAATTGATCTTCAAGAAAAGTATAAGATTAACTATTACTCAATGATTAACCAGTTTAAATATTTCGTCAGTCATAGCTTAAATAAATCAATATTAACATCATAAACTATGCAACTCGTTCAAATTCAACTGAAACTACCAGTTCCTTCAAGATTGTTACTATGCCTTGTTGACAGGTGTCAACTAGCACAAAATTTAGTTTGAACACAAGGTTTACTGTCAGCTATCTCTAACCATCTGTTATCAATTTAGATAAGTGTTTAATTCTATTGAGGGTTTTATGTTATCATAATGGAAAGCTTAATTATCAACGTTTTAATTGTCATTCTAAACAACATCATTTGTAACCACTTCAGGCATAAAATTATTCCACATGTTTCCTATAAATTCGTTTTGACATCATCGCGGTGAGACTATAATTTATGGACGACCTTTAAGCGACGCCAGACTGACATTGGGAATGTCCACTTAATGAGGGTTATAAATTGGTGTGATGAATTAGGATTATGATTTACAATTGATGATTAAGGTTAGAAATTAGATTTAAGGTTTTCATCAGGAACTGGCATCAGTTTTAATGCGAAAACTCGATATATCCGAATGAACGAGTGAATTTCGTGCCAAAATCCAAGACCTGTTATCTTATACCTGATTGATTCGTCCATAAATTATAATCTCGCCCATCATCGCTTCTAATTGGTTGTTTGCCTAGGTTTTCTTGAACACCTTTTTTAGATAATTGTGATGGGTTTATTGATTGACTAGATTCCTGACCGCTTACATGAAGTTCAGATTAATAACCCTAACCTATAAAGTCAATCCTATTGGAGAATCTATAATACCATGATGTAGTAGACTGTATTCTCGGAAAACGAACTGAAGTTTAAACTGTGAACAATTGAATTCCAACTTATTTGTTCAATGTTATTATGCTACTTGTAAAATAGTCAGTCAGTAACAACGTAGAACTTCGTACGTACGTACGTACATCAGTTCGAGTTGCCACACCACATTAGCATAGAGTTTCAGTTGTCGATTCAAATCCCGTAATGGTAGAGGTAGTAAGAGTATAAGCAGTAATCGGAAACATTAGAATTCGAAGACGTTATTTAAAGAGTATAATTCAGTGAAATAGATTTGGAAAGTAAAAAAGAGACAAGAAGGATTCAGGAGATTATAATTTGGGAGAACACAAGAGTGTATGCACCTGCGCACACCATTACAAACGATTTTGAGCCATGTCATTTATGATCTATAACCACCAGTTGTTATTGTCTCGCGGTCCCCAACCAGGTAGTCTAAACCTACCAACATGACTCACATGTCCACTTGTCAGTGACTTCATGTAAATATGAATATTATAAACTGAATCCTTGATGATGTGACATCGATATTGTATAGAATTTCAAGGAATTGTAGGCTACTCAACAGTCAATATCCATTTCAATATTGTATGTTTTCATTATGTTAATCCAGGGAAGAAGTATATTTTTTGATATAGTTCAAATTAGTTCTTATTTATATTTATCATATGAGGATACATTAATTGACAATATTATATTGCTTATTCACTATTTGTTCATCATTATCTAGCCGAAATCTATTGATGTTAAAGTAGTTTCACATCCTATGCAACGTTATGCTGTTTGGTTTGGTGGATCAGTACTTGCTAATGAGGTATGTAGATTGTCGATTTTTAAATGTTGTGTTTAATTTCTTCCTTTTTTCTTCCTTCCAATATTTGAAATTGTTTGATTGATATGCACGTAATAAGCTGTGAACACTTCATAGTGTTTGGAATATTCAATGCTGCATTTGAAAACAATATGTTTGAAGAATTTAATACACAAATAGGTCAGTGATCAATCAGTTAATATCTATTAGTCATGTAAAGGATCTAGTTGTAGCTCAAATAGGTTGGTAGTGTCAACTGATTTGACTGTAACTTTGTGTGACATGGACTCGAATTCCTTGTGGACATCAATTCAATCAAGATTCCGAATACCGCTTGTTGATGGTGAATGGTCTAACTAGCATGAGACCGATCGACTTCAACTATCGTCTACTCTAAATATAGTATAATTGGTGATTAGATAGTAATTAGTCTTCCATTGTATTTCGTGTTGAGTATATCAAAGTTTAAGACAATTAGTCCCTGTGATAAGTTTAAATAATACAATAAGACGACAAAGTCCAACAATAAATTAATTTCAATGGTTAAGATCATGAGTCAGTTGAAGGCTAGACCACCATGGAAAATCTGGAAGCATTGGACGGCCGTTTTGTCCTAGTATGGGACTCAGTAGTGCGCACGCACGATTCCTCACCCCGCGAGATTCGAACCCTGGACCTATCAGTCTTGCGCAAGCGCTTGACCAACTAGACCACTAAGCCGGCATTCAATGGTGTTAATGTCTAACATCAACTAATCCACGAAATTGAGCGACACATCCACCATTGTCATCAGTGAGTTACTATCTCACAACAGACCCGGTTGAACTCCACTGGTCACTACTTCTCACTTGAACTCTAGGATATACCTTGTGAAGCCGGTCACTAGCGAGCATATCTTAATTAATATCAGATGGGTTTTGTGGATATTATAAATTAATTCTTTTATTATCCCTAGTTTATACTTAATTAGACAGTGACTATGAAATCTAAGGTATTGCCCTGTGGATGTAGTCTTCCTATGTACCGAACGATTTAATATCCAGTGTCATATGATCTACATTGTTTTCTTATTATCTATGTTCCCCCCCCTATCCATCAATTTGTTCAGCTTGACTTTTCAATTTTCGTATATGTGTGATCAGATTTGTCGTACTCAAATTATATCAGTTTACCAATTGATTTGCTGATTGAAGTTACTAAGTTAAATAAATTAACATTACATTGTATTATTTCTGACTTCAGTTGGTTGGAGTCAATCGAAAAGAGTAATTATCTGATGTTATTTTTCATTCGCTTAATAATTAAATGATTAATATCAGAAGGGGTTTTGTGGATAACATAGTCCTTTTAATAGTTGAGATCATGAGTCCATTGAAGCAAGACCACCATGGAAAATCTGGAAGCACTGGATTGCCGTTTCATCCTGTCATAGGACTCCTCAGCAGTACACATCCAAGATCCCGCCTCGCATGGAGTCCCACAATAGGACGAAACGGCTGTCCAATGCTTCCAGAATTTCGATGTTGGTCTAGCTCCAATTGACTAATGATCTCGACTATTACAATTAATTGATTCTCACACAGTTGTCTGGTCATGAGTTACTATCTTCATTTGAACTGTTTTCTTTTTCCAATCAGAGTGAATTTTATAATGTATGCCATACTAAAGCTCAATATGAAGAAATTGGTCCAGCAATATGCCGTCATAATCCTGTATTTGGTACAATGACTTAATCATTGTAACCAATTGCATTGGATTCTATTCTATTTTTTACATGATTTTGTTTTGTTGCTATGTTCGTTTTTTTTTTAATTTTATGAATAATTTGATGCGTGCATGCGTTCGTGTGTGCCTACATTAAACTGTTGACTTCATTCATTGCCCTCAGTTATTCTACTGTTTATCTTGTCTTTCTGTTCAAGTTCATTTTTTATGAACTAACAATTTCGTAACCGAATTTGATCTTTACATTTTTATTTGTATTAAAATGATGAGTTAACTGCTTCTAAATTGTAGAATTTCTTCTTGTGATCGATGAGTTTCATAGACTTTAGTGTATTATTCTGGATAAAAAATCGAAAGCTAGACGAAGTTGATTAAAGTATCATTTGATAAATCTCTAGATTCATTGACAGTTTTAAGTTGTTCTTGTAGTTAAAAATGGGTTTTTTCCTCTACAAGATTGAACCTACTGAAGCTTTATTTTATTAGTGTCGGATATGGTTTTTAATATTTGGAATTGGGTGAAGTCTCAGTTGGTGGATACAGAAGACTGGGTTGGCTGTAGTATATTTTATCTCACTGTATTGTACTGTCGTCCAGTGACTGGGTAATGCGTGCTGACGAGCAGTACTTTTCTTCGGATGAGATATGCGCCTCTCTTGGGACGGCTTGAGTAGGGGAGTTACATTTCCTGAAGTCTTATTCTGCTAACCATGGCTGGGTCAAAATGCGATGAGACTAAACATTCAAAGGGGTTTGGTGCAGTTGTCAACTTCGTCCGTTCTCACCTGATTTTGTTACTAATATACCACATTAAGTCTCAGCACATTTCGAACAGTTGCTTGGAAATGATTCTACTCGCTGACCTGTCGCGTGCCTAGTGTGTAGATGAACTAACATCTTATTGTGATGGTGCAACCTCCACTCTAAACAACGCCTCTATTTATCGTCCCTTAGTGTGCGAGATACTTCTCTTTAGCTGATGATTCGTAAAGTAAGTGGCTGATAAATGAAATAAATAACCTCCAAGAGTGGATGGATGAACATTTAGCTTGCTGACGATTTAGTGTGCATTCACTGTTACTGATCTCTACCCCGGTCTCGTCACGTGTGGAATGCCTGTCAATTTGCTGATTGTGTCACATAAGCGTTATAATGTGCTTCAGACTCTGTCTAGCGTCTCGACTCAATAATTGGGCTATTATATTATTTTGTCACTGTGAGGTTGCTGAATGTCTACTGAGATCATGGACAGATCGATGTTGAACCAACATGGAAAGCACTAGACGGTCACTTTGTACAAGAGTGGGGCACCTCATATTTATAAGAGGCCAAAAGGTTGTATTCTTCATGTCATGGCCTTCAATTCGTTGAAAATACAGTTTTCTTCAGTTCTCTTTCGAAGGACGGGTGGTTTACTAGTTTATTGCGATCTCTGTATACAATCATCGTGGACTGAATAGGGTATGAAACCACGTCTTTCTGTTGTTTAGTTCTACTTGTTGAGTCTTGAGGGTTGACTCTGCAAATATGCAATTTATGTTAATCTGAAAACATTTGCGATGGAAGTGAGTAGTGGTTGTGTGTGTCTACTACTTGGAGAAACATCCTTCGAGTGTGTGCAAGCGAATCATATTTTCAGAGCTTGTGATTATACATAATGCTTGTCGTCGTCGTGATATTTGTCTGGTTTTAAAAGGTAGATTTCGTACAGGACTGACATCTGTTTGTCCGTCAAGAAACCCAATTGTAATCTGAGAGTAAGGTGTTGGCAAAAAAGTAATTTCTGAGATTTTTTCGAGACCCACTCGATCGGATATCAGTCTGACAGAGCAGTTGCATCGATATAGTTCGAATATTGACCAGTTGGTCTAAATCATATTGGTCTCAAGGTAACATCAGGGCATATCATTTACTGGCTGTTGGACGCTAATGCAGCTTCTTACGTTCGCTCACATGATAAGCAGGTAGAACCCAACACAGCAAGAGAATATTTTCTAGTTGCACTGTTTCTTTTCACGAGTCAAGTCATTCGATAAATAAACTGAAATCCTGAACATATCCACAGAATCGAGAAATAACGCTACCGAGATAAACACCTTATAGACAGAAGAGAACCATGTGGCTGATCCATGATTAATTAACAAGAACACTATGAATGTAAAATGTAAAACAATAATTTATGCACCATACAGATGATTACGAGTAAGGAAATACTACCACAAAGCAACCTGAGTATTTACCACTTATGAGACATGGTTGTAATTGTTATATTTCGATGTTAGATTCCTAATATACCATGTATAACTCGAACTCTAGAACCCTCCAATTTCGCAAATAAGAAGACTAGAGTGAGTTCTTTTTGGGCAAGGGTCAAAATACACGGGAAATCATGGATATTTGTAAATATTAGCATTTTCTATACCAACATCACAATTTAACCAATCCACGAAGAAGCATATTGTGCTACTCGACAATAGTATCATGCCACGTTAATGTTCTAGGAAGCCCCATTGCGATCAGAATGCAAGGAACTCTTCAGCCCCTCTAGGGTCTTTGTCGTAGTTCTTAAAGCCGTCTCAACAGTAATTTTATTCTGATCTCTTCTAAAACTGAGATGATTTTTCACAACTGCATTATTCTTAGTGTAACTGGCATTCCCATTTTTAATTACTATCAAGCACTTACAGTTTATCGGCTTATTGTTTATGACTATACGCTTCTAATGCGAAGTATATTTTTTGGTATCCGTTTGCACCAATATTCAGGGGTTTAAATAAATAAATAGCAACGTCATAGATAAACCTGACACACCACTCGTCAAAGTATGATAACGCATAATGAGTGAAACTTGTCAACCCCATTAGTTTAAATCGGCGCAACCGAAAGTGTCTAACTCAAATCGTAGTACACTCGACAAGGCTTGTTCCTGTATGAGATGCAGAAAATCCGATTTGGCTAGACGTAAAAATATCTTTTTGGTTTGTTCGTAAATACTGGCACTCGCTTCGACGTCGTCATTTAGATTATATCAGGAGGGGTTTTACTGAAATTTTTAGAAATTTCAATAGTTCAAATCATGAGTCAACTGAAGCTAGAGACGTTTCGTCATAGTATGGGACTTCTCAGCAGTGCGCATCCACGATCATGCTCTCCGCGAGATTCGAACCCAGGACGCATCAGTCTCGCGCACGAGCGCTTACCCATTAGACCTGTGGAGTTCAACCAGGTCTGTTGTGACATATTAACTCACTGAAGACAAGGGTGTATGATGGCGCAACCTTATGGATTGTTTGAAGTTAGACATTAACACCGTCGGATGCCGGCTCAGTGGTCTAGCGTTTAAGTGCTCGCACGCAAAACCAGAAGGTCCTGGGTTCGAATCTCTCACAAGGGTGAGCTCTTGAATGAGCACCGCTGAGCATTCCCACAATGGAATGAGACGTTGGTCCAGTGCCTCCAGGTTTTCCTTGGTCATCTAGCTTCAATTGACTCATGATCTTGATTTTATCTCTCAACATTTGTGGGGCATTTTTTACGGTGATCAGATGCAGTAATCATCGAACATGTTTTCTCTGGGTAGTAGATGTCAAACTCTCGTTGTCCTGTATATGTTTCCATAGCATAGAAATTCGAATCTTGTCTACTATCCCATTTTAACGGAGTTCTTATGATGAACCAGGTCTCAAATGACTAGCTGCCACCATAAGAAAATGATACAGTAGAACGGTTCTATCGGTAGTTGAAGGCCTCCTTTACATCCTCAAATGTGTCGATATTTACAAACCAACCTCTACTTATCTTAATGAAACTCCGCAGCCGAGTGAATGTTGATGATGTATGCACTATAGTAGAACTTTTAGAGTTAAAATATCCCCAGAATAAATAGCTCTGTAAGTTTTCGGAACTGGATGCTGATTACATTAGTTTTAACAGACTCGCGTAGCTGAAGGCGCTCGGTCATGCATCAGCACCAGACCACAAATCGGAAGGCCGTGCTCAAAAACCCTGCAATAGCTAACGAGATTAGATCAGACGATTCTCGATATATCAATAGCCTATCAAATCAATCTTCGAACGTCCTCGCTTCTGCCCTTTTGATTTTACTCGGTAGGACGATTCATATTATGCGTCACTGGTTAAAGCGTTGTCACACTCCGAATACCCGTGGCATCTTCAAACGTATTAGTGATAAGGTGGTACGGAAGGAACTCGAAGTATTTAGCTTACCAATAACCGTTTATTAACACAGAGTTTTGTATATATTCGTTCTACTCAAGCTTTTGAAGTTATTTGCTTGTAACTTTCAATTATCAGCATCGGTTTTACTTTGTTTTCTTATGACATTTTGTAATTTTCACTCTGAATACCCGAAAATTGAGAGCTTGTTTTTAAATTCGCCATAATTATTTCTAAGGCAATATTTCTGTGTTGAACAATTGAGACTCGGTTATTGATTTGAAATTCAGTTTCTTTGTTATCTGGGCCATAAACTACGAGTGTATCAATCGACCAGGCTTCAAGTACGGACCAAAGTGAATTCGATCTTAAAATAAAGTCCTTCGACATCCAATTGAACTTGGAGCTTACGTATATTTATTACTAGGTTCAGCTATAATACTTACTGTGAGCTATGTGCTCAACTAAGGATGGCCCTTCCGGACTTCAACAAATCGACATTTCGCTCTAAATAGACATTGTGTATAGTACACACGTCTGAATATTTTGATTCACTACGCTAGCTGCTCATCGTGGTGTATGAAAGAATCTCAAGAGTTATTTTCCATGACTTAAGGTATCGTACCATTGAGAAAGACAAGAATAAGGATTGCTCTAATATTGAGTGGTTGAAAACTACGGACTGATCTATTGACCTCCCGACCAAAACACTCAACTTAAAGTGACCATGGAAATCACAGGGCGACACTAAGCAAAACTCAAGCACGAGGATTTCAGACGTCGCGCAAAATTAAGAACTATCCCCCTCCAAATCTTTTGTTTTCATTCCTCG